GTGTCGGGGCGTGGTCTGCAGCGGCGCTGCAGGGGAGGCGGACGCACCTGAGCGGCACCCGCAATCACGCCTCGCCGCCTTAACGTCTGTGCCATCTCGGGTACACCGGCGAGTGTGACGCTTATTTTGAGCGATGAAAAAATAATAGAATATAATTTTATTTTTATATTTCAATATTACAATAATCTTCCAATTTAGAACTATTAAAAAAAGAACTAACATAAATAAAATACACTTCAGCTAAACACTTAATTTATTTTCCCAAACCACGCGGAGCCGCAGTATAAGGACTAAAGAGCCGCAGGTTGCCGACCCCTGGTCACCCCTGGGACTGACTTACTGCTGGAACCCCTAGTGGACATGCAAGGAACTGCAGGGTTTTTTGGCACTTCTGTGTTGGTTTAAGTTTTTTGCTGCTTGGATAAAAGTAAAATTTCCAGTCCTTGTTGCAGTTTCAAATCCCTCTGTGGTCTGGTGATGAAGTGAAGGGATGGCCCATTTTCATTCCCAAAGTGTTAAACTCTGCTGTACCATCGAAACTGTTGGTGTCTCAAAGTGTCCTTCTGTGTCCATGTGTCATGGCACCAACACTGAAAGCTTGTCATGCTCAGCTTGTCATGAGCATACTTAAAAGGGTATCACAGTACCCCAGGATCATATTTAGAAGCAACTGGTAAGCTTATTTTCTTGTTTAGTGCCTTTGAAGCCAAGCCAACATCTTTTTCTGAACATAACCAAGTAGTCTTTGGTGCCCAAACCTTACCAAGTTCATAAACAACACACAGACTTACTCAACTGTCAGAACCAGAAAACCAAACACCTCCAAATTTATAATTAATCAATCCTTAAGAGGATTGTTCATTCGAATATTGCTTTAACCCAGTTCACTAACCTCAGAAAGCATCTTATACATGTCTCTCTGATGTCAGCAGCATCTTTCTCATTTCTGGCAGCCTGTGACTGATAAGGTGTGACGAGCAGTCCCAGCCAAAATACCCAAGTGTGCGCTATCTGCAGGGGGCATGGATGTGCATGTGGCCTCACGGCTTCACAGCTGTTACTGACTGGATTTAGGGATGTTTTTCTCAGATGGACAATTAAAGAAAAAGCACAAAAACCTGAGGTTTTTATTGCTGTTACCATGACGATGATGATCCTGTAACCTTAGAAGGTAGTTATTTTAACCCTGGCTGTGATCGTTCTCTCAGTCTAATCAAGTTGTTTTTGTGTTTAAACCAACTCTTCACCACTGCTCGGTCACATGGTGGCTGTTTATCTCCTGTAGCTGGTGTTTTTCCCCTCCAGCCTCTCTCTTCACGCCCTGCAGAATCAGAGCATCACTTTGAACTTTTTACTGCAAACATGGTCATTGTCCTCTCTTTCTCCTGTCTCAACTCAGAGAATCAAAGGGTTTTGTTTTACTTGAGCTGCTGCCAACAGTTTTTGTTTAACTGTGGAGATCAATCTGCATATAATGAGACACTGTGAGGAATTTCTAAACCAACTAGTAGATGGATATGTAGATGTGGACACAAACTATCGTGCAAAAGGAGTAACTTTAAAGAACTTAGAAATAAAGAAAAACAGCAAAAACAAAATGAGAAACTAACAAATGGAAACAAACCTTCTTAATTCAAGCAATTAACACACAATTAACACACAATTAACACACAATGACTAAAGTAGGAGTGTCGTCACATGGACTTACCGGAGGTGCACACAATCATCAGCAGTAGGACTGAAACCAAGACAAATAATTTTACAAGTGAAACTGTCAAAAGAAATCATGAAGAATAATCAAAACTGAAGAAAGACTGAACTAAATGCTGGAATCACAAGAAGATCAATATCAGTTTTCTTTATCACATTTAAAAGGAACAAAGTTGACCAAAGTGCTCACAATTAGTTAAGAACAAGAGGATCAATAGAAGTTAGATGAATCGAACTCTGTGATGTGTTTTTACTGTTTCTGGGTTTTTGATGTCTGACTGCGGCTCCTTGTGTTCTTGAACTGTTTGTCATCCTGTCTCTTTGGTGGATACATTTTTATTTGCAACAAACTCAAATGAAACTTTGGGGGGAATGGATGTTTGTGTCTGTGTGTGCCTGTATGTCTGTGTCTCTATGTCAGGTTGGGTATCAGACGCCACCTCTCTGGGGACATCTCAGGCCCTCCAAGGTTTGGAGGCCTATCTCCACCCACCACCACTTCCCCTGCCAGTGGCGGACTCCCTCAGGTGTCGGTGCGTTGGTGGTTCTTTGTGTCTGGGGGTGGGCGTCCGGGTACACACCGGCTCACTCCTTGGCGGCCGCTTATCGGGGCCTGGAGCCTGGGGCTCGCTCGGTCACTCAGGCACAGCTGGCTGCCGGCGGAGCTCACGGGCGCGTCACTGCAACTCCCCCTGGCTTCTGCTCCGCGGCTGCTGAGTGAGCCCTCATCTGGGACTCTCCTCAGCTCTTTCTGGGACAGTGGCGCGGCTGCCCCTCTGTTGGTCTTCCTTGGTCTCTTGTGTTCTGGGGGCCTCTGGATGTCTGGAGTTTTGATCTCCTCCATACCTGCTTCACCCTGGAGGACGGGGCTGTGGCCCCCCCACACTCCCTAGCAGATCGTTACATGGAGAAACCTTTGGAATACAAGCGCGCTGATCCACACAGGTATGCACACGGGTGTTCACTGCTCGTAGACCCAAATTACACCTTTCTTGGCTGCTACTTCGAAGCACATCTGTCCTGCGTGCTGCACAACAACATTGAATATTTAGTATTTACTGCTGTTTACACTTAGCTAGATTAATGCGATGGTGTTGTGTTTAGTATGTTGCTTTGTTTTTGGTTTTTTTGTCTTTTTTTGCTTGTTTTCTATTCTTCTCTCAACAGGTGATCCAGGAGATTTTTATTTTTTTTCTCCCCCCCTTTCTCACTGTCCCTCTCCCCTTCTGTTTTTCCTTTCCTTCCTCTTTCTTTCTCCCTTTCCTATCTCTCACTCATGTCTGTCCCGTCTGTAACATCTGAAAATAAAATATAATAAATAATAAAAACAAAGATCGACCAAATGGACCAATACGGCAATGCCACGATGATCCATTTGGCAAAGTAAATCCATTGGGTATCCTTGTTGGTCTTCAGACAACAATTCTGATGGCTAAAGAACCAAATGGGACAGGCGAAAAAAAAAAAAAAAAAAAAAAAAATGAAACTTTGCTGGTATTTGGTCATAAACTGGAACAGCACAACCCGATGATGGTCCCAGTTATTAGAATTCATCCTGAGTGAAACGAGTCAGGCTCGTCACTCTGGAGAAAAAGTCTGATCACCAAAGTCACTGAGATTCTTCTTCCAGTGAAGGTTGTGACTGACGCTGTAAGGACTCATTTAAACAGAAAGTAAGGTTAGAAGTTGAGTCTGGTATCCAAATGTAGGCAAAAAGCAGAGCTTTAATGTGCTCTAGAGCACATTAAAGCTCTGCTTTTTGCCGGGTGTCTGCTCAGAACATGTTAGACTAAAATGTTCTGAGCAGACATCCGCCCCACGAGGGAATCTTTAAGGTTTACCCAGAATACTTGTTTTGAAGGGAGGAAGGTTCAGGGCTGAAGCAATCAGCTTCATGGGCTCATCCGGTTAGAATAAGAAAAGCAGCCATCTAATGCAGAATTATTTTCAGGGTACTCCTTTTATTCTCAAATAAATAAGGCAAAAAAGGAAGGAAACAAAGACACACATGGACTGCCAATGCTGAAAGAAAACAGAGATTCAAGTTACTCATTACCTTAACATTACATAAAATAAAAACCCAAACAGAACCTCACCTCAGCTGCCGCCCCGTGTGGAAGTGAGGAAAGAGTGAGCCAAAAGTGAATGCAGTCCTTATGTACTGTGTGACATATAATGTGTGACAGGTGAGTGCAATCAAGGACAAGCACCACACCCAATCAAAGGTGAGAGAACTAAACAAGGTGCATCTGGTGAAGTGAGTGGGTGTGCTGGGATGTGCTAAAAGGTGGGTCTCTACAACAATACTCTTCTTGTTTTCTACAGTAAATGATCAGAAAACAGAGCAAACATCCAGGGTACCAATGCTTCCGCTTAGTGAAATTATAATATTTATTCTGATGCTGAAACTGATGTTCAGAGAAATGAGATTTTGCCTTTGCATTGTGACACGTGGAGAAAAACTGATTTGATGACATTCACAGCTTGTAACAGAGCCTAAAAGTGTTTTTCAGTCTGGAAATTTCACGTGGGCATCTACTGTACTTAAAAAGCATCAAATTTTAACCTTGCAGATGTTTTTATGGGGGCTCTTACACTCATCATTTATATGCAGGTAAAACTTAACTTGGCTTCATTTGATATGCAAAAGTTTTTATAATAAAAAATCAGCTCATCTTTGGGTTTTTTCCATTTCTGATGGATTTTGTTTTGGATTGACCCAGTAACACTGTGTTTACATACACTCACTGCCTGACTGGGTCATTGTGTTAGTGGCTGTCACAGTTGGGTTCTCACTTCTATAACGTTACAGTAATACTAACTGTGAGTTGGTTGTCGAGCTGTTCCTGCGGCTGAGGTGGGAATCGGTGCCCTTTTGCCAAAACTTTTTTTTAACCTCAAACCAAAGGCGCTTGTTAGAGCTTAAACCAAATGTTTACGCAGTTTTTACCTTCTAGTGTCAACCAGGAAGGTCAAGTCAAAGCAAAATGAATGAATAAATAAAATAATTTAAATAAATAAACAAAACAGATTAGATTAAACTAAGAGAGTAAATTAACAAAATAAGCCAAAGGAAAAAATTCACAAAAGTGCGAAACACAGTGGTCCCAAACTGGAGCCTCACCTCTCCAAGCTCCTAATGCACGTTGTCATTAAAGGTTTTTCAGTTTATTGAGTCTGTTGGCATCTGTGACCCTTTGTCTCTGAAATGAGACTAAAATTAGATTTTTGACTTTCGCAGGACACCTTGAAGGTGGAGAGGAGATGCAGGTAGCATCAAACAAAATGATATCATATTACCTGCTGTCACATTTGAGCTGGGTTTCTTTGTGATGGATTCAACACCCCCATAAAGAGTCACAGATTTAATACCAAAAGATCCAAAATGACTGATTTCTAAAAGGGAAAACGGGAGTAGGTGTGGCTGAGGTGTGAGCTGTCTGGGTGACCGGTCACTGTGATGACGCACACGCAGGGAGGGAGAGCAGGAGAGAGAGAGGTGCTCCGCTCTCAGCATCACGTCTCCTCAGTGAGCCTCCTGCTCTGTGACGGAGGAGCAGCTCCCCGTCTCCTCTCCGACGCCGGAAGCTCTCAGTTGTGACGCTGATGGAAGATTTAAATTCTGGGTCCGGAGCTCCTCACTGAGGACACGCGCGTAATTTTCTGTGCGTCCTCGCAGCGCCATGCCGCTCTTCCTCGTCTGACCTCCTCGCTCTCCTTCTTGGATGAACTTTCTCGCTGCCTGCGGGGACGCGGCCGCTCGCTCCGAGATCATGAAGACGACGCGGAAATGCCGCGCGCTGCTGTCGGTGGGTCTGAACCTGGTGGCCCTGTTCTTCTCCACCACCGCCTTCATCACCACGTACTGGTGCGAGGGCACCCAGCGCGTCCCCAAGCCCAACTGCAGCAAGCAGCGGCACCACAACTGCATCGACTACGGCGTGAACGAGACGGACCAGAACAAAGTGCACTACAGCTGGGAGACCGGGGACGACCGCTTCCTCTTCCGCCGCTTCCATACGGGCATCTGGTACTCCTGCGAGGAGAACATCCACGAGTCAGGTGGGTCCATCAGTCCGAGAGGCTGGGGAGATTCTGGGGTCGCTTAAAGTTGTTAAGAGAAAATAAAACTAGAGCAGTGTCGGCTTTAAGATGAGTGTGAAGTATGTGGAATACTTTTTCCTCTTCACTTCAGTTTTTATTTATTTTATTTTTTAGCTCACCTGCAGTAACAGGTCAGACAATGTCCCCCTGAAATTAAAGCTAACAGGCCAGTCACGTCATTTTTACGCACAACCAAAGGAAAATGTTTGTGCGTAAAACCTGTTTTCACTTCGAGTTTGAGCCGCACTGATGTTTGTTTAGTCTTTGGACAGAATTTTAAAATGATAGGATGCGGTGCGTTCAGAGGACACTGCTCTCACTCATTGCACGCTGATCGATGTGGACAATTTAAGTCAATGCACTCTCATTTTTCAAGCAGAAATTGAGCTTCTAAATCTCCGTTTCCCTCAATAACAGGACAACAAATGAAACATTTTTAGATTTACATTGAAAATAAATATTTTATGCTTTTTCTTCGGTCTGTGCTTCATGTCATAAAGATAAAAGTTGACAGAATTCAGGGAATTTGTTAGTGCCAGAAAGGAGCACAAAATCTTCACTCCAAACCACGTCTGAAGTCAAGCAATCCTAGATGGAAATTCATCAGTTAGGACCAGAGAGTGTGGCTGCACTGAGACTTTAACCTTTCATGTGATGGTGGATGATGCTGGTGTGGGTCTGCTCTGTGCAAACATGATGTATTCACACTGTTTTGGATAAATGTGGAGAGCGGGGTGATGAATATGACTGAAGCTGGAACTCTGAAAAGAACAGCCCCGTTTACCTCCATACTCTTCTCTGCTCTGGTTAGTTCCTCAGAAAAGCAGAAAGATCTCAGCTTAAACACATTCAGCATACCTGCTGCTGAATTGAAAAGCATCATAAGGAGTGCAGTGAAGGAGATGTGAATGTTTTTCTTGTGAGGTCTCTGGTGGGTTTTGTTGTGGGTGTTTGTATTTTGTATAAATTGTTGTAAATCTTGAATTTTCTGTTGTAATTGGTGCATTTTTAGCATGTTTGCATCATGGCTGCTGTCTTGGCTGGGTTTCTTTGTGAACCTTCTGGTTAAATAAAGGTATAAATAAATAAATAACACATGAGGCTCTCTGCTCACATTTTCTCTTCCTGCTGATGAGACGTTTAATGGAAAACTCAAAAATTAAAAGTTCAGGTCTTCAAATCACTTATTTTCCCTCAGTCCACAGTGAGGAGGCGCTCAGGTGATGTGCTGGACGCCCTCACATAGAAGCTCATACCAGTGGGACTTTTTGCTGTAACCGTGTTATCCAAACGGTGTGTTGAGGAGGTGCTGCCCTCTCCAATCTCCTGGATTTCCTCTCCTGTGTTTTTGGATTTATAGTTCCAGCAGTTTGTTTCCTGAACTTTGTTATCAGCTGCTGAAGCTGGCTTCCTGTTGAATGGTAAATGGCCTGTATTTGTATAGCGCTTTACTTGGTCCAGTTCTGGTTAGTTCTAAAGCTGCCAAACAAAGTGCTTCACAGGGGAAACAAACTTCATAACAAGCAGGTTTTAATAACTCAAAGTTAACTTCTGGTCTTTTGAATGAAAGATGGCAGAGGATGAAAAACAGAGATCACTGATCAGATTGTTTTTGTGAATGCTCTGATGGTGGACGGCTTTGAACTGTGGGGTGTGTCACCTCCTTACCTTTCAATAAAGGATGGTCTAATGTATCCTCTGCCAAAAGAGGCAATAACTCTGAAGCATTGTTCTTAGTATTTACATAATCCGGTGAGACTTATTGTGGCTCCCTCACAGACATTTCCACATCTGTCAGGACTCTTATTAAGAAAACCGTTTCTACCTCAGCCAGTGTCTCTTTACTTTCTGACTTTCCTTCTCTGTTTCCATCTTTGTGATGAACTTCCTAAAACTGCTCCACGGTGCAGTTTTTGACCAAACAGGAGAAACCTCTGCTTGTCAGGGACTACTTTCAGCTGCGGATTGATCCCCATTACTTGGAGCTTTAGCTGTGAAGTCTACAGTGAGCTTTGCCTCTGTGGGTCCTGTAAGTGTTTCTGATATTTTGTCCCATGTGAGAAGCTGTAGACAAACAAACAAACAAACAGGATCTGTTCTGTGCAGAGACGAGTGGGAGTGAAGAGGACAAAACAGTCTGTGTGGATCTGTGCGCTGTAACTCTGTGAGAGTAAATAAACATCCCAGGGACACAGAGGTAGGTAGGTGTGTGCGTGCGTGCGTGTGTGTGTGTGTGTGTGTGTGTGTGTGTCTAACTGATATTATGAGCTTTCCTTCTTCTCCACATTTAAAGACCACACCGTGCAGGAGCAGCAGCATCTGTGAAGTTAAAGTGTAAAAAAACAGCAGATTTTCTAAAATCCTTTAACTGTAAAGAATCATTATTTGCATCAGTGGCACGCGGCATTGTTCAGAATGTGAATGCATTTTTAACCTTATTTCTCTGTGAGAATTTTCACATCAGCGGCAAATAGGAAATAAAATGCTCAGCCTGAGGCCTTAAGTCCTGACTGATGACCACCAGTAACCCACATGGGAGGGATCCTTTAATTCTGCAGAAGCAGAAACCAGAAACTCGTATTTAAGCTCTTGCTGTAGCGCCCCCTTGTGTTTTTAATGTGGTCTTTTAGCTTTTATTGCGATAGGAAGGTGGAGGACAGGAAAGCTGAGACCAGGGGAGCATTTCTAAACATCACAGCACCTAAAAACTATTATTCATGTTTAATACATTAAACCATATTCATATATATTATGTAACTGAGACTTAAACGCTCATATCTCCTCAAGCATTACTTAAAATAAGTTATTTATGAGTTTATTTAGACACAAGTTGTTTTTTTTTTAGTTAGTTTTAATTTTGAGCTCATTCTTTGCATTATTTGATGTCAGAGGTCTCTCCTCTGTGACAGACTGGATATCTGGGGGCTGTGCTACTAACTTCAACATACCCAGGATAACTTTCTTATCTGGCTTCACTTATCCTAACATCTGCAGTCAGTTTGAGCTCCATCTAGTGGCTGTTCAGCGGCCTTGCACAGTGTGAGCAGGAGTGTTGCAGATTCGGCCTCAGGAAGGTTGAATCTGTTAATCTGCTCTAAATTTTCTGTTAATACATCGACTCAAACTGAGCTCTGACAGCTCAGATCTCAGTAAGTACAACACTAAGAAAGTCTCCCGTCCAGCACATCAAGTATTGAACAAACACACATCCCGTCACGCCCCGAAGCTTAAGCTTGTTAAATTCCTCCCTCACATTCTGAAAGGATCGGTTTGTTCCAGCTCTTCATTAAATCTACAGGATGTTTACACTGAGACCAACACTGGAACAGAAGCTGCTGATGGAGCAGCACCTTTTTTTGTTTAACAGGGTGTTTATATTTTTGCTCTCGGCGCTGCTCTCACCAACAGGAATGCACATTTTATTAGACTTAAACCCAAAGCTGCATTTTCATCAAAGATTTTATGCATTCATCTGTTTGTATTTTAGATCAATCCCAACATCCAGTCTAAATTATTGGTTGTCTTTGAAAACTTTGGGATTTGCACTAAGATTTCTCTTTGCTCTGCTTTGTTTTTCACTTTCTTTTTGCCTGATTAAATTTTGTTGCTATCGATACATGTGTATTTGCCAACTGCCCTGTTGCTGCTGGGTGAAACTGGTTGCAAAGAGTGTGGTGCACCAACCTCAGCAGGAGCTTGCAAGGAAACACTCCCCAGCGGACTCTCAATGAATAAGTTTCGAAAGACGCAGCTTTTATTTTGAAGGCGACAGTTTCCATTTCCAGCTTGCATCAGGTTTTTTTTAGTCTCATTAACATTGTGCATGTAGTTGGTGTCACTGGAATCAGTTTGTAGTGTTTGGGTCTTGGGGTAAAGTCTGATTCCCACTTTGGTCTTGAAACTTACCTGAACTTGCTCACCTGTCTTCTCCGAGTCAATACTTCCCTGTTAAGGATTCTTTCAAGGAGTCTTACCTTCTTGCCTCACCTGCCTGCAGACCCTCCTTACAAACCTCAAACAGTTCCTGGAGAACAAACCAGCACCATTCTCTGAGATTACACTCACGATTCTTTTAAACTGTCTTCGAAGCAACTCTCTGTGAACCATCCAAACACCATCTGAACTGCTTAAGTGTCCAGCTGCCTGGCCTGGCCTCCACGGCTTTCCAGGAAAGCTGGTGTCTTCCATGAAAACTGTGGGTAACCATGGCAACCTACAAGCAACCGAAACAATTGTGAGGAAGTTTTTGGTCCAACACCGTGCACCGACCGGTCTGTAGGCCGGTGTGACTGAGGCGCTGGGCGCTAAAACTTCTTGGTTAGGTTGAGGAATGCCAGTTGAGGTGATTGGATTCAAACTGAGTTGAAGACCGCTGATAATTTGTATTTGCACTTTTTAAAAATGTTTACAGCGCCTGTCACTCTTACTAGTCCTGATGGCTGAACTGAGCGTGTGCCGACTTTAATCAAACCATGTAAACAATCCACATTAATATGCAGATATTATACATGTGCTGCAGAGGCTGAATAATGATGGAAGCAACTCCAAACACCAGCTGTTTAATTATCAGCTGATAAAGATTCAACATCATACCCGCCTCCTCATTTAACCTGATGCGTAACAGACCAAAGAGAGTGTTACCTGAGATCAGGTACGCAAACACCTGTGACACAGCGCAGAGCTTTGGGAAGAGCCGGAGAGTTTGTGTGTGTGTGTGTGTGCGTCTGTCTGTGAGTGTGTGTCTGTGTGTCTGTCTGTGTGTGTGTGTGTGTGTGGTGTGTGTGTGTGTGTGTGTGTGTTGTTGTTGGGTGGAGTGTGAGTGTGTGTTTTTGTGTCTTCTGTCCCAGTGATGATGAACTCTACAGAAAAGCCCAGCAGCAAAAATATGGTGGATTTCCTGCCAAGCCCAATGTTTTATTCAGCTGTTTCCTCAGCTCTGGAACAAATTCAGAATACTG